AAAGAGAAATAATTCAAAAGGCGATGATATTTGGACAAAACATAAATGAATATTAGGGCCTTAAAACACAAAATAAGTTAGTTCAGCATCCAACCACCCTCACTGAGTTCAAGCCATCAAGCCGCTGAGGGCCCACAATCCAGGGGATTAAAGGACTTAGTGGATGTGATTACTAAGCAACAGTCATGTATCTCTGAAAGATTGTGGAGAACAGAAGAGGTGCCTTAGAACTGGAGAACTAGCCCACTTACTGAATTTAGAGACAAGAAGAGCTGGGAGGGAGAGCTCACATGTTGAATGACATAAGGATGCAAAAACATCTCCCCAGCCTAAAACAGTGGTCCAAATCTAATACGATGAAATTTAATAAAAAACATATGGAACCTCATAAATGGGTTCAAAAACTCCACTTCGCAAATACCAAATGGGGAATCCATGATTAAATTGCAGTTTATCTTTGAAAAAGAGAGTTGTAGTGGAATTCGACCCCAAGATGAGTTAGCAATGTGACAGGGCAGCCAGAAAGACTATTGCAAGTTTCCACTGTGTTGAGAGGCCCAGAATCTGCAGCAAGGAAGGGAATGGGTTCCACTGTGCTCTGCTCTGGTCAGATCACTTCTTGTGTGTTACATTCATTTCTGGGTCCCACATTTGGGGGAGCACATTGCTAAGCTGAACATCATCCAGAATAGGGGAGCTAGGATACTGAAGGGCTTAAATCATACCACATGAAGATTAGTTAAAGAAAAGTCATGGAGTTGAAAATATTTAGCTTAGAAAGAGAAGACTTGGTGGGGTTATGGTAGCTGAAAGAACGTCATATGGAAGAAGCCTTAGATTTGTCCTCCCTATCCCTGGATAATAGAGCTAGGGGCTGTGGTGTGGACATGATGGAGAGGCATATTATGGCTTGATATCAGGGCAAAAGATTTCTTCACAGTTAGAGCTATCCAAAAGTAATCTCACATTGCCTTTGGAGGCCAAGGTTTCTCCCTCACTTCAAGGGAAGGCTGGATGGGCCTAATCAGATATTTTGTAGTGTAGGCTCTTAAGAAGGTATAAGTGGAGCTAAATGAACTCTCAAGTCTCTTCTAATTCTGAAATTCTGTAATATTTCTGTTACAGTATCAGTGGGTGTTGCTGTGGAGGGTAATACAGAGGATACTACATCCTTTCTGTTCCCTTGTCCCTTTTGGAAAAACCTAGAGCTAAAACCTTACCAGGCTTAACTTATCCTCTTTCTGGATTGGTTCAGGATGTGCTCTTTTCTATAGTCAGTCACCTCCCTCTCTTCCTTGCTCCCTTCTCCTCTAGAGATTTAATCAGTCAATTGGCTTACTTTTGCCTGGGGGCAATATAATGGCCCTCACTCCATGCTTCATAGGATCTTCTTCTTTTTGTGGAGTTTATATCAGATGAAAAATTAATGCAATCACAATAGCTCAGAGCCCCCAGTTAGGAAAATTCCTTATATTAGTAAAGAAGTTTGACTCTGCTCTAATTTAAATTTTATTATTTCTAGATAATTCTTGACTTTTTTACATTTGGGGCAAAATCAGTACATAGTAAACACTTGGTCACAGGAGTAAATTGATTATGTTACTGAGCCTGTTACTGGGCAGGCACAGGGAAGGGAGAGGGGGGAAGTAGATCTTTTGGAACTTCCTTTGAAGAGGTAAGAACAACTGGGAGCTTCAGTCCTGTCTTCTGGGATGCCTGCAGGTACCCAGTGGCTCACCTAGACCTCCTCCTTCTCTGTTGCAATTCCAGTCTCTTTTCATTTTTTTCTCTTACCTGTTGCCCCTATGCCACTAATTCTCTCCAGCTCCACTTGGCTTGACATGGCTGGACACACTATCTCCCTCACTGCTGCAATTGCTTAGCATATAATCCCCACTTAATGTCTTACAGATCTTGTGAACTCTTTTCAAAGCTCCTACGCATGACTCAAGTCCACCTTCACAGTAATTCGACTTCCTCTCAAAGCTAAAAAGGAATGCTTGTCCTTCTGAACTACAAATCCCAGGATGCCATTCAGTTTTCAAACCCACCCCTGCCCTGTTATTTTTAGATAGCAGAGTAGCTAATGAAGACAATAGTGGTATTGGTATTGAGTGGTTATGTTGTTACCAGTATTAGAAGTTAGACTTTCTCTGTATTTTTCTCCTCCTAAAATGTTCCATAGAGAGGTAGCATGGTGTTGGGAATTGAGAGCTGGCTTATGAAACAGAAAGCCCTGAGTTCAAGACCTGCTTCTGACACATTTTGGCTGTGTCACTTAACTTCTCACTGCCCCAGGCAAATCTGAAATAATAGATTGAGCAGTCACTGAGCCACACTGGTAGTGTGAGTTTCCTCCCCTAGGCCAGTGAAAGCATAGATGTAGTCCAGATAGGTGTAGTGTGTCCTGGATGGTTTTGAGCAGAGGTGTAGTTGCAAAGGAGGCATCTCCACAAGTGGATTATGATTGCTCAATCAAGCCTCAGAAAAACCAGTGTGAGTGGGACATTCTGGTGCGTGATAAAAAGAATTTCTTTGGTCTGAAGAGAAATCTCTCCATGAGATTCACTTCCTCACTTCTCCTCTTGGCTGCCTGGACAAGGAGTGCAGGCTCCAGATAACATTTTTTTAATCAAGTATCCATGTGGATGTTTGTCTTCCCACCTCATTTGTTCATAAACATCAGATTGCTCTAGGCTTCCTATGAATGGGACCATGCTCTCAAATCTTCAGCTGCTCCAATGACTGGGATCTCACCAATGCGTATGTCCCCCCAACATGCAGATTGCAGCCCATCCACATATACTCATCATTGTAATTCCCATACATAGCCTCCCATAAACTTCCCAGAGGGGGCCCACCCCACAGGCTGCATGCCTGCCTTGCTTTCTCTTAAAGTTGGGAGAACTGGTGGAGCACGTGGGCTGCTCATTGGTTTATTACCAATGTCACCAAATGACTCATACATAGCTCCAGTGGAGTCTTTCCCTCTAGTTCTGTATTGTAATTCCTTGTAATATGTCAAGGACTGCTCACTGTGTACCTTGTACTTCTCCATTGGCCCCCGAATGATGTTTAGTTTGAACTCTTTGGACATTTCTTTCCCTGTGACGCACAGCATTCAGCAACATCAGGAGAATACTGGTATTAAAGGGGTGGCCCTTTGTTTCAGGGAGAAGTTTGGGGTCACTGGAATTATTCTGCAATATTCCAAACACTGCCCAACCCCCGGTCCTGCTCCTGCTCCTGCTCAATGCTACGTCTAGTTCATTGTCCACGTTCAGTGTCTGTTCCACACATATGTCTTGGTGGCTGAGTTGTAGAAGTTGTCCATCCAACTACATGCATTATTTACAGGACTTTTTGTAATTAAGATTTCTGAACAACAAAATTAAATTGGTTATTATCATGCCCTGTCCTTTGATAGTTCATCATGTTTCATCACATCTATGACTAATAAAATTTTTACTGGAATGGCCAAGCTTTAATGGTTGTCTTGTGAATGAACTCGGAAAGGTCACCCAAGAGGTGGGAAACTAATTTATAGTCTGTATTCAGCAAATTAAAGATAAATTTAATCTTCAGTGTGCAAGCACGTCCCTATAGAGAAAGAATTCATTGGATTCAGTTGTTGATTGAGCAATGAGCAGACTGGCTAGTTACCATGAGCAGATGCTTAATGTTGCTCTATTGACTGTGATGTTATCTTGGATTCATAAACTAATGGGACCCTGGACCCAGACACATGAGCTTTCACCTTATATTTCCCAGAACCAGGCCACCATACCATTACCCAACTACTTCCAAACTTTGTGTACCCTCCCAACTTCATGAATACTTTGTACAAGTATGCCTGGAATGGCCTCCTCCTCACCTCTGCTTTTTGAAAGCCTGAGTTCCCTTCAAAACTCAGCTCTAGCACCACCTCTTACACAAGGTCATTCCCAATCTCAAGTCAATGGGTCAGTAAGCATTCATTAAGTACCTACTTTTCGGAAAGGCACAGAGAAAAACCTCAGGAATACAAAGAAAGGTTAAAAAAACACCAGTCCCTGATCTCAGGTGCCCTGTCTAATGGTGAGGACATAAAAACAGGACAGGTTGAGGATAAATTGGAGATAATGAACATTAAAAAGGCACTGGCATTAGGAGAAGATTGGAAAAGTCTTCTTGCAGAAGATGAGATTTTATCTGGGACTTGAAAAAAGCTAGGGAATCCTGGAAGAGGAGAGGAAGGAGAGAATTCTAGGCATGAGAGAAAGCTGGTGAAAATATTCCGAGTTAGGACATGGAGTGTCTTGTGTGAAGAACAGCAAGGAGGGCAGTGTCACTAGATTACTGAGTTGGAAGGAAATGGTAAAAGGTGTAAGAAGATTGGAAAGGTTGGAGGAGGCCAAGTAATGAAGAGCTTTATATTTAATCTCAGGCATAATAGCAATAAAAGCACTGGAGTTTATTGAATAGGAGGGTGGCATGGTTAGAACTGGGCTTTAGAATCGATTTGACAACCCAATGGAGTTTTCCTAGTCATTCTACCTGAAATTACTTTGCATTTATTTTTGTGTGTATTTTGTATTGATTTATCTGTGTACATGCTGTTTTCCCTTGATAGAATGTAAGCTCCCTGAAGGCAGGGGCTGTCCTTGTATCCCCAGCTCCTGGCATATATTAAGGGCTTAATGTTTGCTAAATTGGCACCAGGAGTCTTTCGGTAACACATCAGGACTCAAGCATGCAGGGAAACAATGGTGGGTTGGGGGTGTCCTGAGCCACAGAAAGGATTCCTTTACCCCCTCCAGAATCACTGATAAAATGGCTGTCAGGTATGTTGCAAAATATGGAAGAAAAAAAAAACCTTCTCAGCCGAGTCCTCACAGCTCCCCTTGTGAATGATAGGGATTCAGCCTGTACTTGAAAGGCTCAGGATGATTTTTTTTTCTCTAAATCTCTGTCTCTCTGTCTCTCTGTCTCTCTTTCTCTTTAAACATTTCAACGTGTAGCTCCACCAACCCTCCCAGACACCAGTGGGTCAAGCTGCCTCCCAGGCCAACCTTCTGCATCTGGCTCACAGCCAAGCATCCATGTCTCAAAGTCCTGTCCGCCAGGCTTCCTCCTCTTCCTCCTCCTCCTCCTCCTCTTCAGCTTTGAGTGTTGGCCAGTTAGTCAGCAGTAAGTATCCTGCCTGCCTCTGCGTGTATCGCCTCTTGTCTTTTGCCTTTTGGTGCTGCCCCTCTCTCTCTCTCTCTCTCTCTCTCTCTCTCTCTTTTTCCCCTCCTCCTCCTCCTTCTCCTCCTCCTTCCTCCCTTTCTTCCTCTTTCTGTCTCTCAATGAGGAAGCATTTCCTCAACTCACTTTACCAAAGTTCCATGGACCTGCTACGTGAAACAGAAGGTGTAGAGAAGATGAAGGTGCATTCGTGGGGCTACATTGTGACAGATCAAACAGAATCCCTCCTCCAGCAACAAAGGCCATCCTGGCTCAATCAGTTTTCCCTTGGAGAGCCAAGTTCTAGTCATGAATGAGAGAAAAGGCATTTATTAAGTACTTAGCACGTGCCAAGCCCTGTGGACACAAATACCAACAAGCGAGACAGTCCCTGCCCTCAAAAAATGTGTGTTCCAGTAGAAGAAGATAGCACACATGGGAAGTGATGGCCAGGAAGGGCTATTTTGGAAGCCACAGGGATGGGGAATGGAGCCACTGGAAAACTGATTGATGTCCTTTCCCAAAACAGCAGTGTTGATTTGATGTCTAAAGCAGATGGGAGGCAGGGAGGAAGATGTGATATACTCTGCCACTGAGCCAGTCCTGGCACTCTGGAAGGAAGCTATCTGATTATTGCGCTGCACTGTGTGCTCAGAATCTCAGGCCTGGAAATCAGCAGCAAGAGGCATCCACTTGGGGGCCAGGTTTCTGCTCAGTGTGTCTGAAGTCTCCCCACTGTTCTGTTTGTAGGTGGTGTCTGAGGAAATAAAAGAGAGTCCATTTATGTGCTGGTAGGTGGGTGGGTGGGTATTTGTGCTTGAAGGACCACCATCTAGAGCACAGTGCCACTCACATGTATGTTCAAAACCCAACGAATTGAAATGAAACAGAAAATCCACATCCAACCATGCAAAGATCCCAGGGTGCAACTCAATACATTAGTCACCAGGAAGGCAGTCCCTACAATTTGTAGAAATAGTACTTGGCCTGACACAAAGGCCACAAAGTTAAGTTGGCTAAAATGGAAGGATCAGTGGAATGTTCTCTTTTAATGCCAATTATTTACTTTCATTGCATCTTTAATGTGCAAGTATTCACAGAGAGAACGGTTGCCAGGGAACACATTTTAAGAATAAGCATTGTCACTTTTTTGGAGGTAGGTTTAGTCTAAACTTCTATAATTCTTTGACATAATGAGTCTGCTCCCCAATCCTGGTCTCTTTCCTCTGGAAGCTCTCCAGATTGGGCTAAATAAGAACATAGCTGGATTGAAGAAAGTCCAGAGAAAGATCACTAGGATGGCAAAGGCACCATACAAGGCCCCACTGAATAAAATGGTCTGGAAAATGGATTCCCCAGTGGGCAACATGATAGCTACTGTCTGGGCCCTAGAGAACAAAATAAGGAACAGTGAACATAAGGCACAGAGAGGTAGAGATCAGCATGAAGGAAAATTCTTACTGCTTAATGCTATCCAGATTTTGAATAGACACCATCGGGAGTCAGTTGCCCATCACTAGAAGTCTTCGAGAGAAGACTAGATAACCATTTGTCTGGAGTGTTGTCTGATACGGGTTGGACTAAATGACAGCCCTGAAATTCATTGGCTGTGTTAAGAAGAAAGAAAATGAACTCACATCTAGTGGCATGTTAAGGTTTGTGAGGGACTTTCTTCAAAATAGCCTCATGGGGTCAGTAGTCCCCATATTATGATCCCACTTTACAGGATCAGAGAGGTAATTTGCCTAATTCCAGACCACAGTCTGTAAAAAGCAGAGAGAGCATGAGAGATGCTGAAAGACTAACAAAAGCAAATGTCCTGGTTTCCAAATATGGAAGAAAGTAGATTCTTCAGACTGTAAAGCACTGAATCTGACTTCAGTTCCTAATGAAATTCAGGAAGGTGTCCTTGATAATCTGTCACCAATGGGAAAAGTAAGCACTGAGCAAGCAGAGCCAGCATGGGTTCATCAAATGTCAGTCATGCAAAGCTAATCTCATTTCCTTTCTTGACAGGCTCATTAGTCTGGTAATCAGAGGAGTGATACAAACACAGCATTCTGGGATTTCAGCTAAGCACATGACATAGTCTCATATGGAATCCCAGTGGACAATGTGGAGAAATTTGGAACTGAATCTGGTGGGAAGTTGAGTCTCCCAAGGTTCTGTCCACAATTTAAGAAGGATATCGATAAACCAGAGAGTGTCCAGGGAAGGGTAACTGGGATGGGGAAGGGCTTTGGGTCCACATCTCATGAGGATTGGTTAAAAGGATGGGAGGTTTAGCCTGGAGAAGAGAACACTTACGGCTAGCCCATGCTAGCTATCTTCAAGTAGCTGAAGGGCTGTCAAGAGGAAGAGGAATTATCCTTGCTGTATTTGACCCCAGAAAGCAAAACTGAAAACAAGGTGAAAGGAACTGTCCACTTTGAGAGGTGTTGGGTCCCCCTGCTCATCTTGGAAGACTTCAGATAGAAGCCAGACAACCACTCGTCAGAACTCCTTTCCAAGTACGAATTAGTCGAGATGCAATTCCTTCCAATTCAAATATTTTGAGAATCTAATTGGGATTCTGTCCTTGGCTCTGTGCTGGTCCTCATTTATATCAATGACTCAGACAAATACATAAAGGGATATTTATCAAATTTGAAGATAACACAGTGCCGGAAGGATAACTATCCTATTGGATGGTAGAACAAGACCCCAAAAGAGCTCATTGGACTAGAAAAATAGATACATCTAACAAGATGAAATTTGATAAGAATAAATATGAAGTCCAGTTAAAAAACCAATTGCACAGTTAAAGGATGGAGGGACATATGAAATCCAATAAACTCCTCAACAGCACAGAATGAAGGCCAAAACAACGGGTGCAATTTTGGGTTCCTTGGCATAAGAGCCAGAAGCAGAGAAATGGTGCTTCTACAGTTCTTTGCCAGGGCCAGGCCACAGAGTCTTGTGCTCAGTCAGAGCATCCTCTGACTTTATTCTGCTCAACATTTCCTCCCATCTGCTCAAAATTTCTTCCCTGGACTCCATCCTATATCCATTCTTCTTCCTCTACTCTGAATATAGAAGTGAATGACTTAGTCACTCATCAAAGATGACCGGCCCAAAGCAGAGTGGTGGCAATCATCAACCCCCAAGTTCTTATGTACCCATTTTGCCTGATATGCTTGGTCATTTTCTCTCAATTAAAATACCCCAGATCTGTGATTTTATCAATGTAGATAGATAGATAGATAGATAGATAGATAGATAGATAGATAGATATACAGACAGACAGATAGATTATCAAGGCAGAACCCTGGGGCTCCTTCATTCACTTGTTTTTCCCAAAGTGAATAGTTAGATTAAATTCTTTTGATGATCACTGGCCCTGCAATTTCATCAGTGGAGGCCATTCACATTTAGGAAGGATGGCCTCTCCTAAAAATAATCATCACTTTTTCTGAAATTTGTTATCTTACTAAGACACCTGAGTCATTGAAAGATGCAGTGACTTGTACAGCCAATATTTGTCAGAAGTGAGACTTGCACCCAGGTCTTCTTGACTTCAAATCAGGTCTTTCTGAATGTAAGGCCAACTCTCTCCCCATGTGCAATGCTGCTGCTCTATGAGTGATGATAGATCTCATTGTGGAGGCTGAAATGTCCCAAGTCTTGGAATCAGCACAAAGTCATCCACAAACACGATAATTTGGAGGACCCTGCTAGCTATGTCAGTTGGATCTCTTTCTTGCCAGTGGCAAACACTTCTAGCAAAATAAATTGTATAACAAACTCCTTTTGCCATATTAGACAGTGGAGCTGCCATATTGGGACTTTATTATCACTGTCCCAAATGCATTTATAGAGGAAGTAGAAATGGTGCTGAACTGAAGAAAGTTGGGGAAAAGCAGCTGGACTGGACCAAGCATATAGAGAGGAGGATTATACCGACAACATTGCAACTCAGAGGTTGTCTCTCAAGGCATCTGAAGAAAGAGAAGGTAACAAAGGCACAGAAAAAGATTTGACATCTTCTTACCCCCAAAAAAGGCAACTAAGAAAATCTTGCTAACTGCCAAGCACATGCTTACTTTCTCACTTATGTGAAATGTCTTATGAAAATAAATGGCATATGCATTGAAAGCATCCTCAATGAAGGCAATAGGAGGGAACAGGCATGCTTTTGAAAGTCATCCATGGTAGACTCATGTTTACCATCATACAACTGACCAAAAGATGCAGAGAATACACGATCCCTCTATAATTGTTTTTGCTGGCTATAAAAAAAATATTGATTCATTAGAGTAGAGTACTGCTGATAAGGTGTCACCCAAGCATAGGTGAAAATTAGTCAAAATAAATTAGTCAAGATTTCTTGAAAGATGAAGCAACAGAGACAACCTTGTTTGGGTTATTAATATCAAGGGAAGCATCATATAGGAAACTGATGGAATGCCTATCACAAAATCAAGAAAGTAAGAGTTCACATACTGAACTCCTTAGTTTTTAGTTGTGAAGATGGCATTGTCCAGGGGCCAGAAAGGGTTAAAGTCATACAGGGAAGTGCTAGTCCCTGGTTATGACAGTGGGACACCTGTAGGTTTAGTGTGTGACCATGCCCATGTGGCTGAGGTGGAATGAGGGAATAAGCTATGGGACTTACAGAGACTGAGAGTGGAGGTGGAGGGTAAGTGAATTTGCGGAAACACCTCTATGAATATGGAAGTGTTCTAGTATAAGACTAGGGGTTAGGGAGGAGAGGAAGATGATGAGCCAGGTGCCAAACTCCTTGAGAAAGGAAGGAGAATGAGAGGGCAGTTGGTATACTTTTTTGTTCAGTCATTTTTCAATTGTCACTCTTCATGACCCCATTTTGGGTTTTCTTGGCAAAGATTCTGTAATGCTTTGTCATTTCTTTCTCCAGCTCATTTTACAGTTGAGAAAACTGAGGCAAACTGGGTTAAGTGACTTGC